TACATGGATTGTTTCTCACTTTTTATTTATTTATTTATTTTATTTAAGGGCCTTTATTATTATTATTATTATTATTATTATTATTATTATTATTATTATTATTATTATTATTTTATTTATATTATTTTATTATTAATAATATAAATATTATTATTATTATTATTATTATTATTATTATTATTATTATTATTATTATTATTATTATTATTATTATTATTATTATTATCCCCCAGGCTTGCTGTAGGTCATTGACCTGTGCCCTGGTGGGCTAATCATAGAAAACAAACATTTTCCTTGTCTTAAATAAAACAACTTTCCTTTGACATTCAACAAACCAATCATAGAAACTGAAATACTCTCTGACGCGACATAAACACACATGAATAAAACAATGCTTTGAAGAGAGAGAAAAGAAAAGAGAGAGAGAGAGAGAGAGAGAGTTATATTGAAGAAAGAAAAGATATAAAGAGACAGAGAATAAAGACAGTGAACACACACACACACACACACACACAAAAACTACCCAATAAATAACTGATTATCTGGCGACACTGTAACTGATCCTAACTACCCTAACTACCCTAACTACTCTAACTACTAACTACTCTAACTACACCTCTAACTACCTAACTACCTAACACTAACTACTACCAGTATATTAGGGAGAGTTATACACGTCATCAACAAGTGGGTATAAGACGGGCGTAAACGAGGCTGAGCGGCTGTTATGTGTGATGTATGTGAGTATATTACACGGTCATATGTGTCTTGGTGAGATACAGCCCCCGTGTACACTACCCAGGCTGGTGTGTGTGTGTGTGTGTGTGTGTGTGTGTGTGTGTGTGTGTGTGTGTGTGTGTGTGTGTGTGTGTGTGTGTGTGTGTGTGTGTGTGTGTGTGTGTGTGTGTGTGTGTGTGTGTGTTACATTATACAGGGATAATCGTTGTCATTAATTAAACTTTATAAACCAATTGATGTTTTTTTTGGTCAAATAGGGTTAACTTTTTATTAACGACTAACTGGAAATAAATTTGTAGTGTGTCTGGTTATATTTTTTCTCTTACATTTAAAACGTCCTTTACCAACACAAGGTAGTCAAATTATACCTAGGTTACGTTACGTTAGGTTAGGTTATATTTGGTTAGGTTACGTTAGGTGTTATTGGTTATTTCGTTAGGTTGGTATATTTGGTTAAGTTACGTTAGGTTGGGTTATATTTGGTTGGGTTACGTTAGGTTAGGTTATGTTTGGTTAGGTTACGTTAGGTTAGGTTATATTTGGTTGGGTTACGTTAGGTTAGGTTATGTTGGTTAGTTACGTTAGGTTGGGTTATATTTGGTTGAGTTACGTTGGGTTAGGTTATATTTGTATCGGGTGGTTAGGTTGTACGTTGGTTGGGTTATGGGTTAGGTTATATTTGGTTAGTTCGTTAGGTTGGTTATATTTGGTTAGGTTACGTTAGGTTAGGTTATGTTAGGTTGGGTTATATTTGGTTAGGTTACGTTAGGTTAGGTTATATTTGGTTGGTTACGTTAGGTTGGGTTATGTTGGGTTAGGTTATATTTGGTTAGTTCGTTGGGTTAGGTTATATTTGGTTAAGTTACGTTAGGTTGGGTTATGTTAGGTTGGGTTATATTTGGTTAAGTTACGTTAGGTTAGGTTATATTTGGTTAGGTTACGTTAGGTTGGGTTACGTTTGGTTAGGTTACGTTAGGTTGGGTTATATTTGGTTAGGTTACGTTAGGTTAGGTTATATTTGGTTAGTTCGTTGGTTGTTATATTTGGTTAGTTACGTTAGGTTGGTTATTTGAGTTCGTTGGGTTAGGTTATATTTGGTTAGGTTACGTTAGGTTAGGTTATGTTAGGTTAGGTTATATTTGGTTAAGTTACGTTAGGTTAGGTTATATTTGGTTAGTTACGTTGGTTAGGTTATGTTAGGTTAGGTTATATTTGGGTTGGTTAGGTATATTTGGTTAGGTTACGTTAGGTTAGGTTATGTTAGGTTGGGTTATATTTGGTTAAGTTCGTTAGGTTAGGTTATATTTGGTTAAGTTACGTTAGGTTAGGTTATGTTAGGTTAGGTTGTATTTGGTTGGGTTACGTTAGGTTAGGTTGTATTTGGTTAGGTTAGGCTTTTTATATACTAATCATTTATATGTATTATGACATTATCTACCTCATGTTTTGGACCAGTTAAGATCCCCCACCCCCGCCCCCAAAAAAGGAAAAACAGATGAATAAATAAATACATAGAAGTTATCGTCATTAGGTAATTATCCGTTTATCACACAGAGTCTTGGTTAAGTCTTGGGGTGACGCTCCTGGATCCCACATGGAGGTCCCGGGTTCGATCCTTGACTAGTGAAGTATTGTTTGTATATTAATTTTACCTGGATTTGGACACTCATGCGATTACACACACATATGTACACTTACACGTTTACACTTACATACACATACATACATAAACACACACACACACACAGGATAAACCAATGTCTTCTCTGTGTGCGGGTCACCAATCAATTGCGTGACAACATATATTGCATGGTCATAATTCCGGGTTCCCAGAGGAGTTGGGGAAGGGGGGAGGTGGGAGAAGAGGTGAGGGAGGGGGAGGTGGGGGGAAGAGGTGAGAGGAGACAGGAGAGATAGGGAATGATGGGAGGAGTAAGAGGAGGAGGTGGGGGGAAGAGGAAATCTGGGGAAGAGGGAGGAGAGAGAAGTGGGGAAAATAGGAGAGAGGAGGGGAATGAAGGAATGGGGAAGAGAGAAGTGGAGGAAAGAAAAAAGGGAATGTAGGAGAAAGGGGGAGAGAGGGGGTGGGGGTCCCTCACGCCAGAAGGACAACAACAACAACCAATATTTACTTAACTCTGCGGGTTCATTACATTATTTCCCAGGGAAGAAAGTTCGATATTTTGTTTTTCCTCTTTTTTTCATTTTTTAAAGGTGGTGTGGTATGTGTGTGTGTGTGTGTGTGTGTGTGTGTGTGTGTGTGTGTGTGTGTGTGTGTGTGTGTGTGTGTGTGTGTGTGTGTGTGTGTGTGTGTGTGGACTAGAAAAGAAGACGAAATGAAAGAAAGCAAAATGCACATGAAAAGCTGTGTGTTTCTTATTGTTGTTGTTGTTGTTGTTGTTGTTGTTGTTATATTATATATATTAAAAAAATTTTTTGTTGTTATAATTATTATTATTATTATTATTATTATTATTATTATATATTATTATTATTATTATTATTATTTGTTGTTGTTGTTGTTGTTGTTATAATTATTATTATTATTATTATTATTATTATTATTATTATTATTATTATTATTATTATTATTATTATTATTATAAAAAAAAATTATTATTATTATTATTATTATTATTATTATTATTATTATTATTATTATTATTATTATTATTATTATTATTATTATTATTATTATTATTATTACTATTATTATTATTATTATTATTATTATTATTATTATTATTATTATTATTATTAGTAACTATTGTTGTTGTTGTTTGACCCCATCATAGTTGGTTTACATCATTAGATATAACTCTGTGTGGGTGCACTTGAGGCACCTTGGTAGTATTATTAGTTCTAGAGAGACTTACAGTGTCTGTCTCTCTGTCTGTCTCTCTGTCTACTTAATGTGTTACCTCTCTTTCTCTCTCACTCTCATATGTTATCATTTCTCTTTCATAAAAGGATTATAAACACAGCTCATTAACTTTATATTTATTCAAACAAAGAATACAAAAATATTCATTTCACGTCGAAGGTTTTATATAAGGCGGGGACCTCACCGCCTTACACCGCCGCTTAAATAAAGCATAAATATATATTTATATATTTATATATAGGTTATTTTCATATAACTGGAGGAGATGAGTCAGCTGGCCCGCCCTCCACGTGTTGGTATTGTTGCCGCCTTGGTGATGTGGCCACACACACACACACGCCCTCACATCAAACACATAGAAACAAGTAAACATTGATTTTATACTAATATATTATCATACAAATTATATATATATATATATATATATATATATATATATATATATATATATATATATATATATATATATATATATATATATATATATATATATATATATATATATATATATATATATATATATGGTGGCAATAGTTGAGCGGTAAGCAGTTGAGTTTCTCCTCCAGAAGCAACAGATTAGCTTTAAGTCAACATGTTTACTCTTATATACACACATGAGTTGATATAAAACCCGGCAGATATATGTAGCTTCATCCTGCGGCTGTATAACCACGCCACCACCTGCTGGTTCACACCACCTGCTGGTTCACACCACCTGCTGGTTCACACCACCTGCTGGTTCACACCACCTGCTGGTTCTCACCACCTGCTGGTTCACACCACCTGCTGGTTCTCACCACCTGCTGGTTCTCACCACCTGCTGGTTCTCATCACCTGCTGGTTCTCACCACCTGCTGCCCTCACCACTAGCTGGTTCTCACCACCTGCTGGTTCTCACCACATGCTGGTTCTCACCACCTGCTGGTTCTCACCACCTGCTGGTTCTCATCACCTGCTGGTTCTCACCACTCACTGGTTCACACTCACCTGTTGGTTCTCTCACCACCAGCTGGCTCTCACCACCTGCTGGTTCTCACCACCTGCTGGTTCTCACCACCTGCTGGTATTCTCACCACCCGCTGGTTCACACCACCTGCTGGTTCATTGTTCACCTGCTGGTTCTCACCACCTGCTGGTTCTCACAACCTGCTGGTTCTCACTCACCCGCTGGTTCATTACTTACCCGCTGGTTCACACCACCTGCCGGTTCACACCACCTGCTGGTTTCACCACCTGCTGGTTCTCACCACCTGCTGGTTCTCTCAATACCCGCTGGTTCTCACCACTGCTGGCTCTCACCACCTGCTGGTTCTCACCACCTGCTGGTTCTCAACACCTGCTGGTTCTCACCACCTGCTGATTCGCCAGCACTCACCTGCTGGTTCACACCACCTGCTGGTTCTCACCACCTGCTGGTTCTCATCACCTGCTGGTTCTCACCACCTGCTGGTTCTCATCACCTGCTGGTTCTCACCACCTGCTGGTTCTCATCACCTGCTGGTTCTCACCACCTGCTGGTTCTCACCACCTGCTGGTTCACACCACTAGCTGGTTCTCAACAACTACTGGTTCTCACCACCTGCTGGTTCTCATCACCTGCTGGTTCTCACCACCTGCTGGTTCTCCCCACCTGATGTACAGCAGTAAGCACCTGGCTGCCGCCGTTCAGGTGCCACCACCAGTAACAGTAGAGTAACAGGTGTTACTTGTACAATGTTACCTCCGTTACCTGTTACTGAGGATAGTCAGGTCTCTTGTCTCAGCTCTTATCTCTTTCTCTCTCACTCTCTTTACGTGACTAAATATCACCTTTATGACCATTTCCACAGGTTAAACTTTTCTCTCCGTTAAAGAAACAAAACAGAGTCACACAACCCATCTGGCTCCATCGTTTCTCTCGTCTCTTGTTTCACCGTCATTAATATTTCCTCATTAACAAGAGCACCAGGAAATTAATGCAACATTTCTCCTTCCTGGTAATGGTGGCCACAATGTACACCGTAACGATATCTGGCGGCCAATTCTTCTCAAACTCTCGTCTATGTCTCAGGTGCTCAGTGCCTCGAGATGGCCACCTTAGAAACTCACTCCCTATTGACGTATCTAAAAAGGATTCGTCTTTCTGGTCGTCAATGTTCGATTTTTTTTCCATTTCCAAGCGAGAAAATATTACTTTATTGAACAATTTTTTATTTTTATTTATTTTTATTTTTTTCAAGATGGGATTTTTTAGGTTTTTTCCTGAATAATTACACAAGGAATGATATTTTCCTTTGAGTTTTCCTTTACAAGATATAACGTTCTTATCGGGTTTTTCCATCTTGGGTTTATTCAAGATTTAACAATTTGGTATTTTCCTACTAAAGTGTACTTAACATTTGACACTCTACTTTACCTTTTCATAATAATTTATCCTCAAAATCCAACACTTTTCTTGGTCTCTTTCCAGTGTAAGTCCGAGATATTTTTTCCCTCGATATACTACTTGTCTCTTAACTTTTTTCTCTGAGTTTCTTAAAGGTAAATTTATCCTCCAAAAGTACCTTCAAGATGAGAGATTTTGTCTAGTTTCCTCCAAAATTCAGTATCTTCCTCGTCTCTACTAACAAACTTTTTCCTTCTGCCTCTTCCTTCAAAAGTGTCTTGAAGATAAGTCTCTTTTCTTACCTTATATCTCTCTAAGACACAAATGTCCTTATACAATACTTTACCTTAACCTTCTCTTAAAGTCTCTCCAATACAAACTTCTCCTACAAGTGTCTCTCCTATGTCATTTTGCTCCGTTTCTTTCTTTTAGATTACCTCATAAACTAACTTGACCTTTATTCTTTTCTCCCACAAATATTTCCAATCTTTTCATCTTAGATCTTAGACTTTTCCCTTAAATTTGTCACTTTCCTCCACAATTTTCCTCCTAGAGTCCCTACAAAACTTATCTTCACACTTTTCCTCCAAAAATTCTTCAATGGTCACGTTCACAGAATCTCACCGAATATAAACTTCTCCCCCATCATCTTTCTCCAAAAATCCTCCAAATTGTCACTGTCCTCCACTACACCAGCAGCTCGCGTCCTCCAACACACACGGGGACCCTCTCATACAACGCTCTCCTCAGCCTGCATCAGCTGGTCGACGGGGCAGTACAGGTCGGTCCTCACGCCAGGGTAGTCGTCGATCTCCTTAGGCGAGTGTTGCTGTAGCACCAGTGGGTGATAGGAGTCCGAGTGTTGGCCCAGGGAATCCTGCCGGAGGAAGGGTTGATACTGTCGGCGAATGAGAAGGAATTTTGTATGTTTATCGTGTGAAAGAAAGATAGTGAGAGAGAGAGAGAGTGAAAGGGAGCAAGGGAGTTTATATTCTTCATACTGCGACATCTGGGCCTCTGAATCCTGTAAGAGAGATGTATCTATATATTTATGTATCATGTAGACTTCTAAATATATCATAAGAGTATTATACATTAAACGAGACCATAGATATATAATTCACAGTATCGACTTGTTGCTACTCTAAAAAATGTTGTATCACCTAAGAATCTCATTAAACAGTACACGGGCTGAAGCATTACAGGAAAATACAATGACAACACCACGTGGTATTACATTCCTCAAACACCAAGCGCTTGACTCCTGCAGGAAAATGGCGAAGAATGTAAGATAAATATGAGAGGAAAGAATATATATTAGTGAGAATATAACCAAAATAACACAGTAATATAATGAAGTGAATGAAAGTGTAACCATTAGGAGTGAATATCAGTGGCTGTCGGTATGTCTACTGTATACAGATGATGCTTTGTAGTTAAGTGGAGTCTAAGTATGCGTTTGACAGAATAGTTGGCATGGTTGTTTTCTTGTGATGGTGTTTATAGGAGACAAATGGTAATGGTAAAATGATGGGATAAGGAATAGTTATGGTGTTATGGTGTTTTAAAGCTAATACATTGATGTTATTGATGACGTAATGTATTCCTACGCCTTAATAACTCAAGTCTTAAAACATGTATTCTAGATCGGTAACGTACACTAGTTATCAACAATTTAATATCAAAAGAGATAACTTTATCTGTTTTAACTGAATTGGTTACATTTAATAGGGAAATAAGGGAAGAGGGGAGGGGAACTTTAGCCTAATGGGGAAATTATAAGAACTGGGGTAGGGGAGGTTTAGCTTATTAGGGAAATTAGAAGAAATTGCTAAGTTTTGTTCGCCATAGACATGGTTTTGGGGAAGTAAGTCCTTCAACATCTTTTCATAATAAACAAAAGTCCCTCAACATCCTACCATAAAAAACAAAAGTCCCTCAACATCTTACAATAAAAAAACAAAAGTCCCTAAACATCTTACCATAAAAAACAAAAGTCCCTCAACATCTTACAATAAAAAAACAAAAGTCCCTAAACATCCAACCATAAAAAACAAAAGTCCCTCAACATCTTACAATAAAAAAACAAAAGTCCCTAAACATCCAACCATAAAAAACAAAAGTCCCTCAACATATTACCATAAAAAACAAAAGTCCCTTAACATGTTACCATAAAAAATCCAGACCTTCTTAGACTTGAACATAAATCGTCTTGAATTATTACAGATACGAGAGACAACACACGTTAGAGCCAGGCTAAGCTATACCGTCCCCTTAGAAACTAGCGTCACCCCTTAGAAAGTAGAGACACCCCTTAGAAACTAGCGTCACCCCTTAGAAAGTAGAGACACCCCTTAGAAACTAGCGTCACCCCTTAGAAAGTAGAGACACCCCTTAGAAACTAGCGTCACCCCTTAGAAAGTAGAGACACCCCTTAGAAACTAGCGTCACCCCTTAAAAAGTAGAGACACCCCTTAGAAACTAGCGTCACCCCTTAGAAAGTAGAGACACCCCTTAGAAACTAGCGTCACCCCTTAGAAAGTAGAGACACCCCTTAGAAACTAGCGTCACCCCTTAGAAAGTAGAGACACCCCTTAGAAACTAGCGTCACCCCTTAGAAAGTAGAGACACCCCTTAGAAACTAGCGTCACCCCTTAGAAAGTAGCTGCACCCTTTGGTAAATAGTGGCACCCCTTAGATAATAGCGGCACACCTAAGATAGTAGAGGCACCCCTTAGATAGTAGTGGCACCCCTTAGATAGGAACTACAACCCTTAGATTGTAGCGTCACCCTCTGAGACAGTTCCAACCCCTTAGTACCATCACCCCCCTAACCAGTACCATCACCCCTTAACCACAACCATCACCCCCTTAACCACTACCATCATCCCTTAACCACTACCATCACCCCTTAACCACTATCATCACCCCTTAACCACTATCATCACCCCTTAACCACTACCATCACCCCTTAACCACTACCATCATCCCTTAACCACCACCATCACCCCGCCAACCACTGTCACCCCTTAACCACACCATCATCCTTAACCACTACCATCACCCCTTATTTTGTCCTTCACCCCTTAGACAGTACCCCCCCCTCCACTGTACCTTAACTAGTGATAAGATCCCGATAAACCTGCGCCAGCCATTAAATTGAATCCTCTGATAAAGGAACTTTTACTCTAATTTTTTACCATAAAGAAAACACGAGATTATAATAGTCAACCTTAGACAAATTAGAAAATATTACTGAGTGTATGTCTGTATGTGTGTGTGTGTGTGTGTGTGTGTGTGTGTGTGTGTGTGTGTGTGTGTGTGTGTTATAGAGGTGCAGCAAGTTGATTTTTGTCGATTATTATTATTATTATTATTATTATTAGTAGTAGTAGTAGTAGTAGTAGTAGTAATAGTAGTAGTAGTAGTAATAGTCGTAGTTTCATTTCAAAATTAGTGAAACACCCTCACTTAACCCCAGCACAAAGATCACACCTTGGACTACCACAGAGACTGGGAGGAATGGGATTGACCAATCCAGAGGAGTTTGCTGCCACCGAACATCCAAACTCAGTTAAGCTCACGGCAGCCCTCACGGACCACATAATAGCTCAGAACGCAACAAGGGAGGTGGATACCAGTGAAGTAAACAAGATTAGATGGTCCATTACGACAGAACGATAGCATGGCCAAAGTGATAAGTTGCAGCAACTGCTGCTGCAAGTACCAGAAAATTAAAAAAAAAAGTAGCTATAGCGCAGGAGGTGGGCGCCTCGATCTGGTTAACTACGTTACCGATAAGGGCAAATGGTTTCAGTCTCAATAAACAAGAATTTACAGATGCCAATGCTCTAAGGTACGGTCGGCCAGTAGAAGGTTTGCCCTCCCAATGCGTGTGTGGAGCTTCCTATGACGTCGATCACGCCATGGTGTGCAAGAAAGGGGGCTTCATATGCATGAGGCATGACAAAGTATGGGATCTCACAGCAAATATGTTGAAGGAAATCTGCGTTGATGTCATGGTAGAACCGACCCTCCTTCCATTGGACGGTGAGATTTTCCAACATAGGACTTCAAACACATCCAACGAAGCCCGTGTTGACGTCAGTGCTCGAGGATTCTGGACGCGGGGACAGCGAGCCTTCTTCAACATCAGGATTTTTTATCCCATGGCCGCATGTCACCGTAACTTAGCTCTCGATGCAGTACACAGGAGGAACGAGAACGACAAGATAAGGGCATATGGGGAGAGAATTCAGAACGTTGATCAAGGCAGCTCCACTCTTCTAGTGTTCACAACCTCTGGTGGGATGGGACCAAGTGCAAGATGCTTCTATGCCAGACTCGTGGAGGTGCTATCCGAACAGAAGCAGCAGCCCAGAAGTTATGTTACAGCCTGGATGAGATGTCGACTGTCCATCTCTCTCCTTAGGTCTGCTTTGCTCTGCCTCAGGGGAACGAAAGTATCGGCCCCAAAGCCGACAACTGCTGCAGATACTGACTATGAGGCAACAGTCACTGAATGCCGCATAGATCTGCGGCTCAACTAACTCAACACAGCTAGGGTAGCTACTTATGTATTAGAATATTTAATATTAAGGTAATAAAATGGCGGCGAAGGTGTGGCTATTGGGGGAGGCTGGAGGCAAAAAAAAAGTAGTTGTTAGTAGTAGCAGTAATAGTAGTTGTAGTAGTAGTAATAACAATTACAATAATAGCCACAACAACAACAGTTACTAATCAACAGGTAATCAACAGGTAGAGTATCTCTCACCATGGGTATATCCTCAGCCATAGAGCCATCCAACACCTCATAAAGGGTAGCGTCTGCCTTGCTCTCAGCTGATGAGAGAAGGTCGTAGGTCTCCTCTGGGGGCACGAGAGATAACAGCTTGAGATAATGGTAGTGAGAAAGAGATGGCTGGATAAATAGTGTTAGAAGGAGGTTTGGTTGAGAGATAGAGAGAAAAAGAGGCTGGGAGAGAGGAGAGATAGGGAGGATAGATAGATAGATAGATAGATAGATAGATAGATAGATAGATAGATAGATAGATAGATGAACCAGAGTTAACACAAACACAAATTTAGATAATCAACAAAAAATAAACATCACTTCAAATTACCTTTATGAGTGCCCAGTGTTGTCACCTGTGTGTGTGTGTGTGTGTGTGTGTGTGTGTGCGTGTGTGTGTGTTGTGTGTGTGTGTGTGTGTGTGTGTGTGTGTGTGTGTGTGTGTGTGTGTGTGTGTGCAGTTGCAACAACATACACAATACAGTCTAGATGTAGATACATTATACATTATACAGCATACAACATACACCCAGACCATTTATATTACATAAGTTGAATCCGTATGAGAGTAAGGCCGAGCTTAGCTTTGAGTTTAATACAGTGATTGATATTAAATCCCTTACTCTCTATATTTTTGTTATACATATATGCCCTATTGACATGTATGTATGTATGTATGTATGTATGTATGTATGTATGTGTGTATGTATGTATGTATGTATGTATGTATGTGTGTGTATGTATGTATGTATGTATGTATGTATGTATGTATGTATGTATGCATGTATGTATGTATGTATGTAATTCTACACAACACCTGTATAGAACCCGAACAATTATCAGATAGCTTAGATATAAAGTGCAGGTAAAGTAATTAGCATATAGTTACACTAACATAAAGGTGTTAATTAACATATACAGGTAATAATATTCTCCACTGATTAACAAATTAGTATACATAAATAATAATAATGGTCAATTATTATTTTTTTTTTACCTGTTCCCACCAAAATAATATCATCTCACCGTTTGGGATTAATAACAGATAAACAGAAAAAAAAAAACTAGAGTGATAAACAGATTAATAGACAGATAACTAATCATCCTACCCGTAAAATAATAGATAACAATAGATAATAATAAACAGCAAAAAAAAAACAGTAAAACATTTTAAAACAAATCCAAACAGCAGATTGGGAGGAAGATAAACAAAGCGACGTGAAGGCGAGGCAGGTAGTGACAGGTGTGGACACTTGAGGTAAAGAGTTATGTCTTCCGCTGTCTCTATAACTCAGGATAAGACGGTCGGGGGAGCAGCCTCTAGCGGTGATACAGATGTAGCAACAACAGTGGGGGAGATAGTAGTAGTAGTAGTAGTAGTAGTAGTAGTAGTAGTAGTAGTAGTAGTAGTAGTAGTAAAAATAATAGTTTTATGAGCGGTAATAGTAAGAACGGCAGCAACATTGAATGAGTGTGTGTGTGTGTAGGAGCTGAGAGAGAGAGAGAGAGAGAGAGAGAGAGAGAGAGAGAGACTGGACACGTTAATCTAACCATTTAAGCAATACAGTTTATACCCACGATACATCCATCTCCTACCTAGCTAATTACAAACACACACACACACACACACACACACACACACACACACACACACACACACACACACACACACACACACACACACACACACACACACACACACAGAGCCTCCTCTCCTCTCCCCTAATACTCCATCACAACCCTTATCACCCAGAGCCAGTCCAGACCCAAGCAACGTGGAGTTTACTGGCTTCCCACAGCATGATCCAGTCCCATTCTGCTGCTGTGTTGTGCTGAAGTGTGTGTGTGGTAGAGAGAGTGTGGTGGAGGGAGTGTGTGTGGTAGAGAGAGTGTGATGAAGAGTGTGGTGAAGGGAAGTGTTGGGATAGTTTGTGTGTCGTTATTCTTGTGGGGCATGCTGAGGGGGTTTACAGTTTCACAGAATTAAAGTGTTTCCAGTTCATTATCCTCAAGGCTATTAAAAAAAATATCCAATGTCAAAATTACACCATTAATATATTTTCTTTCTGGCGGCCATTTTTGACTTTATCAACCAAAACAAAATAGGCAATTAAAAGGACACCATAATTTTATCTCATTCAATCGAAAAAGAAAACAAAAAATCTAGCAGCCATTAATATCCCCTGGAATAAAAAAAAACCACATTATTCTCCAAGTTTCAATATTTTTTTGTTGATTAAAATGTTGTCATATTTTTTTTCTCTCTTTCTTCAGCTCAAACTTTTCGTAATACATCGATTTTTATTCAATTTGTAAATATGGTCTAAAATTCTTCACTTTTCCTCGTCCACCGAACATCAGGTTATTGGCTTCCACTTTTTGCTTCTTTCTTTCTTAAACTTTCCTACTTATACTTTTTACTCCCTCGGTGCGAA